CTTTACTGGGAGAAGCCATGATGGGATGTGTGTCTGGTGCATCAGCAGCAGTCATCACAGGTTCTTCTGTTTGAGTTTAAAAATGAATTATACAGCAGTGAAAACTATTCATTTAGCACATTTTGATTCATTTGGAGCAATAAATGTTATTAAACTGAGAAAATATCATTAATAATGTAAAATGAAAAATATTACGGTGAAAATAATGTAATGAAATATTCTTTAACCATTTCTTAAAACCTCTTTTTTAGAATTGTTCTAGTTTAGTGGATTTGGTTTTAGTTTGGTGTATTGCTGATTTCAGGAAGATGTAAAGACAAACATGCTCTACCAAAGCCAGTTAGGGGTTATGAAGAACATCTTCACCTTTTTTAGCTTCTCACACAGAGCTCTCTCTCAGCGCAGGTCAGCATGTGAGAATCTGGTGGATAACATTAGACAGTTTTTATCTTAACAACACTTGATTAGGACTGCACTTGCTGGAATTAATTAAAGTAATTGAAGTGATTGTCTTTGCATAATGGTCACATGTCTGGGATTATAAGAACCGTCTCACTTGCAGGGCAGTTCTCTGCCATGCTCTTTGTTATCTACGGCCTCTTGAAGTCTAATCTTGAATCTTGGAACCTTGATGTCTTGCGAGGCCAAGCACCTTATTTACGAGGACACTGTCCTTCCTTGGTCAAAGGAAACGGTTAAATGGAACAGACTTGCATCACTTGACTGCGGCTTCCACGGCGGTCACGTAACGTCACGTGACACGGGAGACAACGTTATATTTTATACATATTATTCTCAATATAAATATATAATGGGCCTTTTACTTTTTAAATTGTGTTTATATTTATAAAATCAAAAATATAAGTAAGTTTCTACCCGCTAGCCAACAAAACTGCAACTACTAAGCCACTAACCAACAGTCGCAATATCTTTATGATGCAAAAAAAAAAAAAAGATAACTTTTTTTGGATCTAAAAACATTTTAAATTAGTTGACTTACTTTTAAACTTGAAATTTGTCCCCGAAGTAGCTGCCGGCTTCTGATCTGCCGTTCTTTTGAAAATACCGCAATGCATTCTGGGTAATTTTTGACCATGTCTAGGCTACAAGACACCTCCCATGTGTCCTTGCTCAGCTAGCTAAGCGGCTAACAAACGGAGAACACATGCCTCGGTAGAACATGAGCATTGGAACCGATTGGAACACGTCTTGGTGGCTCCTGATGACGTATCTCCTAGGCAACCGGGGCGGGGCCAAGACATCAAGGCAAGGTTCCCTGACATTGAGAAACACCCACAAAGTACGGCCAGGTGTGGGAATTTCCATCCTGGGAGGGAGGGTGTTACATACCGTGTCCCTTTTCTGCCACAAGATGGCCTCAGTGGCCTTTGCCTCGCCTGTCTCCCGGTGTACCAGGTGTCTGTAATCACTTGTAAAGGTTGGTTTATGCTTGACGCGTCCGCGAGGTCCGCACGGCTCCGCGCGGAAAAGTTGCGTCATTTTGCGTCATTTTAACAACCACGCCCCTCCACCGCGTCTCCGCACGGCTCAAGATTTCCGCAACGCGCACCTTGGAAAATTTCTAACCACGCGGACGGACGGACGCGGAAAAACATGGCGGACCGGCACGGCAGAGGTTCGTAAATACAGACATTTGTATGATTCAGCTCTCAGAGATCACCGTGATCAACATGTTGTTAATAATTCTTGGAGAGAAATAGCTCGCACTGTCGGAAAAGACAAGAACGCTGTTAAAAATGCTAAATACCATGTTGTAAACAGTGATTTCTACTTCTACTATGGTGTAGTGTTGGATGCATGCTGTAGAGCTCCATGCTGCCCCGTTCAGTTTGGGAGAATATTGGCTCACCGCAGAGACGAGCCGCACAAACCATAAACGCTGCGAGTTGTGAAGCGCGTTCCAGCCGCGAGCCGCATCACCGCACGGAAAGTGAATGCGTCAAGCATAAACCAAGCTTAATCAGGGAGCAGCTGTTAAAAGCTGCTATCCTCCCTCAGTCTGGGAGAAGGTCCAAGGGTAGTATAGACTCGGCTGAGTCTGTACTATTTTCTTCTCCTCGTTCACTGTTAACTTGTTTGCTTGGTAGACTTTGGATTTTTGACTCGTTTTGGTATTTGGATTTGGCAGTAGATCGTTTGGCTAATTTGACTTCGGACCGGCATTTTGACCTCGATTTAGGATCTCCCCTTTTGAAACTATAGGTATATTTATTATTCTCGGTTTTCTTCCCACCCCCTTCTGGGGTGGCGTTTTTCGGTTCTCCTTTTTAAATATTGCTCCTTTGGTTTTGTATATAGTATTGATTTTAGGTTCTTTGTACATATTCCATTCATTTTGTGATAAAATCCTTTGTTTTTAAGCGACACAGCACCCTGATTATTATTTAACCCACACACTAATTTTATTGCTCCCCTCCTCATCTCTCCTAGAGAGCCGGGGACGTAATAGAGGGGGAGTGGGTGGAGGCTGTACCGATGACGTGAAATTGTACCAGCCCCAGATAATCACAAGTTTAAATGCAGTAGCTGCTGTTCTGCCACTGGGGGCAGCACTAAGACATTTTTAGACCTAGATTCTAGATTTAATCAAGTTTACACAAACATGTCAAAAAATGCACAGAAACAGAAAGATTGCATTTGTAAAAACCCAATGATACAGTTTATAAGCAAAAAAAATGTTCTTTCGGGGTTTTGTTACCTTGAAATTGCTGTACAACATATGTGTGATCCAGGGCATAAGGCAAAGTGGATAAGAAAATAACTATTTTAGCCCAGATGACTTGCATTCATTTTTGTGTTCTTCCGGGGACCCACGATCCAACTGGAAATGGAGAAGACTTAGGCTCCCTATATACTACATACTGCACCTTTAAAACTAGCAAATTAATCTAACTTTAGATAATTTTGCTAGTTTTAAGATATCTAGCAAAGCAACTTTTCCTTTGACCCCAATGGTAGATTTTTTTTACCCAAAGCAAAAAAATATGATCACATTTAAATTTGGAACACTACTTTAATCAATACATTTGCTGCGGTCTCTGGAAGGACTGAATGCCTTGTAAGTTGTTCTCGGGCGGAATAAAGCCCAGAAGCACCTGATTCAGCACAGGCAAGTCTGCTGCAGCAGAGAGCGACAGCAGACGGCAGGATTTGGAGCCTTATTTCCTGATATTTGCACATCTTGCCTCAGATTGATTTAACAGCAACGGGACCCTACTACTGACTCTGTTTGCTTTGCAACGTTGATGTTTTATCTCCACAAATAACACAAACCTGAAGGAGCTTCTGCCATGCGCTTGAGTTGCTAATGCTAAATGTTAGCTTCTGCTAGATAAGATGTTCAATGTTTCCTGGATGCAAAACCGACAACAGCCTTTCCCGTAGTGAGCCAAGATGAGTGAGTCCAAGGGACAGCTTGACATAGATCTGTCAGGTTTTTCTGACTCCAGAGTTTCACTGTCTGTGTCTTCACAGTCACTGTTCACACTGTGTTATTTTCCTCAATCAGTTCTTTACACGTTTACATTTTGCAGAGTTTATTCTAAACAGATCAGACACCTAGTGAGGTTTTAGAGCACCAACGATCCTCCACGTGTTGTTACATAAGACAGCTACAGGCGTCTTTTCTCGCTCCGCCAGGCCAAACGGCTCCCCGCCCCTCTGATTCTGTGTCGCTGTGATTAATTCATGAACCTTCTTGAATCAATGGCCCAAGACCAGGCTCAATGTTTTGGGATACAAAACACAGTGTCGGCTTGGAGATCATGTTAGCATGGGATAAAACAACAGTAGTCTGCTTTTCCTCATAATATATATATTTTTAATTGAATCATTTCAATTATTCTCAATGAAACTCAAACGCCCAGTAAACATTGTGCTGGACATAGGAAGACTTCTACAGAGGTCAAAGGTGTTTGTTTTCCATCAAAATTCCCTTTAAGAGAAATATTTATTATGAGCTTCTGTGCAGAACAAACAGCAAAAATTAAATAGTTGAAATAGATTTGTATTTCTATGTTTCAGTTGTCTCAACAGATGGTTTCTTTTCATGTTTCTGCAAAAACAGATACATGTTTATTGCTCCTTTATTTTATTTATTTTTTATCAAAAAATAACCTTAGGTAAAAACAAGCAGGTTTGTTCAGCTTCTCTGCTCCCTATCTTGAGTTTACGTTAATCTGAACATTTTCATCATTTTTAAGGGCATCATCAAAGCCAAAGAGTAGAAATGACTGATCTGTGCATATCAGTGATGCAGCTGCTGCCTCTTTATTACCACTGAAGTTTTAGTGAATTGGTGTCACACTTGAATGCACACAACCTTCCCAGAAGATAATAAATATTTAGGTTTGAAGAATCTTTTGATTTATCAGAAAAAGTACAGTTTCCTACTTTCTACTATGTTCTTAAAGAGCATCATTTAACTAAATGCTAGTATTATCAGACAGGATGCTAGTTTTTAGGAAAATATTGGTCATTGTGACCAACATTACAACCATTTCCTGGTTTTCTTCTTCATTTTCCATGTTTTCCCTTAGTTTATTATTTTCCCCTCCTTGCAGGGGCGCCCCCAGAAAATTTTAATAAGGGTGGCCAGGTGGGGCCAAAGAAAATTTGGGGGTGGCACACCAAATAGGTCCTTGTGGTAGCTATGGGAGATTGTAGCCTGTGGCAATGCAAAAAAAAAAAAAAAAAAAAAAGATAATAATAAAACAATATGTATCCAAAACATTTACTACAAATTTAAGAACCAAACATTTCATAAACTTACACTTCAGTTATTTGAAATGTTATTGCAAAAAAACATTTAGAATTTTTTTTGTTTAATTCACTTATTGCTGTCTTCACAAAAAGCTGTGGAGATATAAACATTTTTTATGCCGAGCAGCAGAAACATATGCATATATATATATATATATATATATATATATATATATATATATATATATATATATATATATATATATATGTATGTATTTATATTTTTTATTCTGATTATTTCTATACTCATTAATTGTATAATTTTTATTGTGTTTTACATTTATGTCTTGAATTAACAAGATAAGATGTTATAGTTTGAGTAGATACTAGTGTGATTTCATTAACACTGGTGTTTCCTGGGGGGGGGGGGGCATCAAATTTTTATGGATGGCCATGGCCACCCCTAGCCACCCCTTGCGGGCACCACTGCCTTAATTTAACTAAAATAACCAGATATGAATTTAAGGAGATAATAATGAAATAGACACAATGATTGTTATTTTACTGGTTCTAGATTTTGACCAGACATCAGAAGTAGAAGAAGGTTGTCAACGTCGAGGAAAGAGAGTTTTTAATACCTAAATTTATCTTGATGTTGCTTTGTTAGTAAATTTAAATGGTTGAAATATTTTGTGACCTTCTTCATGTTGCTGTTTAAAATAGAAAAATGTGACCCATTCTATCAAGTCCAAATCATCTGGTTTGGGAGGAGTACTTTGGGAAAATGATCACATCAAACCTTCAGTTTACCCAACACTCTGTTACTTTGGTATCAAATATGAAACTGTATCCATGAAAATACAAAAAAAAAAAAAAAAAAATTATAATAATAATAAAGCCACGACCATTCTCCTCTGACCCCCTTAAAAAGCTCTTTGGAATTTCATTAATAAAAATAAATAACTTATTTAAGTTGACCAAATGAAAATGTGCTTTGGACTTTATTGCTTCAGTTCAGCTCTCAGGCATGTGTTTGTTGACGATTTGTCTAAAATGCCTTTAAATGTCTACAGTGTGTAATGTTTAAGTAGTTTCTCACTGGGCTTTCTGTCAGGAAACGCCGAACTTCAAGAAAATATTCAAATGTTGCCTCAGAGTAACTGAACTTGTGTGTATGTCAAAACTCCTAACAAAGTAGAACATTCACACAGTTTTCAGGAAAGTTGTGCAAATTGTTTTGTCTCAGTTTAGTCACAAAATATCTTGATTATTGAGTTATTTTTATGTGAATTATTTAGCATTGTAGCTGCCTCTGGTAAGTAAGACAACACTTTAAAAACTTTCGATTTATCGCATTTCAGTTTCATGGGTCTTCTGAAACAGCTCTGTGGTTATTTTGAGAGAAATGATTTCTTACATACATGTTCTAAACTCATGCGACTCAAGAGTGAGGCTGTGTGCCTCACCGATGAAAAACAAGAACCCTCACAAACATTTTAGGACATCTTAGAACCTCTTCAGAGGTGTTCACAGTTTGTTACAAACTCCTGCAGCCCAGTGAGATGCTAACTATTGCTTCTGCAAGGATCAGTTAAAAAAGTACTCTAGTGTACTAATATTTATACTCATATGAAATTGTAATCACTGATGATATTTTTCCATCTACAACTACGGTATGGTTTATTAAGAGACAGACTCCCTATAACTATACTGGGAAATTCAATCACTGCTAATGGGAAATGATTTAGGGCTTTGCACATTTTTTTTTCTTTGATTGTTTGAAAAACAGTTGTGAAAATGTTGAGATCTTCCAGTTTACTCTACATGGTTCTTTCTTTTTGTAACCTTCTTTTTTAAAATTGATTTTAAATAGCCTGGCCAGACTAAATAAACTCATTATTATTTATTTATCATCATTACATTTTATTATTATTAAACTTTGCAAAGAAAGAATTTGGAAATAATTTTTCATTCAACTAGATTTTGAACACATCTGACAAAGAAAGCAGCAATTTTCGGAATTTGATTTCCATTTTTTCCCTCACTCCAAACATTAGATTAAAGCTTTGTTTAACATAATTTTAGACGGTGTCCCCTGAAATGGGAATATGCATAGATTAACATTTGAAGACAGCAAATGCACACATTGTGTGATTAGTTTGTTCTAATTTCCATGTGAAATAAAACGACTTCATGACTTCTAGCATATAGGTTAGAGTTAGCTTGATGCCTTCCAAAGGTAACCCTGCTCTTTTGTTTTGTTTTTTCTTTATGGACACAAACTCGTATTTTGTACCTTTGCATTTAGGTTGTTTATTGTTGATTAGTGCTTCAGGTCACCCTGTAATCTCTGTGTAGCTTTAGCTTTACAGCAGCTTAGTCATGACATTGATGGCTTGTAAGAGGCATTAAGTGATTTTTAACAGAGGGTTCATACAGTTTCTTTGTAATACATTCTTCATAATAATCAAAGTGCTTTTTTTTAATTTTGCATCTTTTCCCTTTTAAAATGTTGTCTTTTGGGACCTAAATTTTAAAATCAAGTATTTAAACATGTCATGGCTCATTGTGTTTGGAAGCTGCATCTGGTTTGTGTTTGTCCAGCAAATTACACCACTACCAGCTGATCTTGGGAGGAGACTTATAACTCCATGATTTGTGGTAAATAACACATTGAAAGAGCTGCTTATAGTTATCCAGGGTGCAGTTTTAGAGATGCTACTGCACACAAAACAGCTTATCTAAGAAATGTATTTACATCTAAGACTTATAATAAGGTTCTGTCCTAGTAGCTGTCGATGAACTAGTATTAAACACTCTGAACTCAAAATGACCAAGTGAAAAAACATTCAAGTTTTTGTGAAGGAAGAAGATTTTTCTTGTTTTCACCCAACATCTAACCTGTGCATCCTTGCATTTCCACATTCCCTAAGTAATGTTCCTTTTTTTGATTACATTTCTTTTCCAGGCTCTTACTATAGTTGTGTCTTCCTATGGCACTTTGCATTGCTCTGCATTTTACACTTGTTTAAGTTTGTTCTTCTGACACCTATTGGTCATTAAGTTGGGGTCATATCTCTGACTCCCTACGATATGACCTTTGATCTATGGCCCTGGTTGTCTGTAAGCGTTCAAACTCATGTCGGCTGTTCCTGTCTGGACTGAGATTTGCCAGCACCCTGCTCCCACCACCCATGTCCTCCTCTTCCTCATCATCACGGTTTAGGAAGGCCAGCTCATTTTCATAGCAGAAGGTGTTAGAGCTGGGGACTAGGAACTTGTTCTCCACCATGTCCTTGGCACTGCACCGTGGGGTGGACGGCACCTCATAGGTTTTGTGAAAGTGAGAGTAATCCACCTTGTACAGGTTCTTCTCCTCGAACAGGACTGGCTCAAACCTGTGACCCCAAAGGATCTCAGATGCCAGGTAGGAGCTGCGAGCCTGCGTGGTCATGGCTGTCGCTTCGACCATCCCCTCCAGAATGACGACAATCTCAAAGTCTGACGTTTCCAAGTCCTGTTTGCTGATCCCAAAAAGGGGACTCTCCTCATCTATCTCGTGGAGAATAGTGATAGGTGAAACCAAAAAAATTCTGTCCAATCCTTTGTCAAAACCAACATTAATATCTATCTGATCTAGAGGAATATATTCCCCTTCATCAGTGATCCGGGGTTTGATGAGCTGTGCTCTGACGTGGGCCTCTACGATGTGGCTCTTGCGAAGATTCCCAACCCTCCACATGAGACACAACTTTCCATCTCGCATGGCAATGACAGCATTGTGGCTAAACAGGAGTGTCTGTGCTCGCTTCTTAGGTCTTGCCATTTTAGCCATTATTGCACCAATCATGAAGCAATCAATGATGCAGCCTACAATTGACTGGAAGACCACCATGAAAACTGCCACTGGGCACTCCTCAGTCACACAGCGGTAGCCGTAACCAATAGTAGACTGTGTTTCAATGGAGAATAGAAAGGCAGCCACAAATCCATTGACCTGGAGCACACACGGGGTGAAGTTGTCATCTCCAGCTGGGTTATCCAGATCCCCATGCAGTAAAGCAATGACCCAAAAGGCCAGTCCAAAGGCCAGCCAAGACATAACAAACACAAGAGTAAAAACTACCAACATCCACCGCCAGCGAATGTCAACACACGTGGTGAAGATGTCAGCCATGTAGCGCTGTGACTTGTCGTCCATATTGGCAAACTGCACATTGCACTGGCCGTTCTTCTTCACAAAGCGATTGCGGCACTTGCGGCGTGTGTGTATCTTGCCGTTGCCAAAGCCGTTCATGCCATGCATGGTAGTGAGGCGGAGCCCCTCTTCCTCTGAAGACACAATGCTGTAGCGGTTGATTTTGCCCACACTCATGCTCGTGACGTCACCTTCAGCTGCAGAGTTTGAGCAGAAGGGCAGTCTTGGAGGCTGTGATCAAGGCCCCTCACAGCTTGATCACTGGCTTAGCCACATTTTAGTGCCTCATTTAGGCAGCAGGGTGGGAGCTTTGAGCATGAATCCAGGCCCTGCAGAGGGGAGAGAACATGTTTGAGTGTCATGAAGATTAGCTCACACACACACAGTCTGTTAAACGTCATCCAACAATTTTTTTAAAGAGAAGAAAATAAATCAGTCAATGCAGCACATCTAAAAATTTGAGAGTAGTTAAAGACCAAGTTCAAGAATTTTTTAATGCATTTGCAGCAATCTCTAAATGAATGCCTTGTGAAACAATTTCTGTGGGGAAAAAAAGCTCCTGCGCTCCTGTTTTGGGAACTAGAAATGAGCCAGAGGAGAGATAAGCTGTAAACAGATTCGGCATCTTATTTCCTGATATTCTGGCATTTCACCTGATTGGCTAACACCAACGCAACTCTACCACGAACTCTGTTTTCTCTGCAATGTGAATGTTTTATCTCCACAAATAACACAAGCCTGGAGGATTTCTACCATGTGGTGGCGTTTTATTTCGTCTAGTCATAGCCCTTAAGCTAGCTGCTATTGGAAGGATGATCTCAGCATCAGCCAATCATGAAGAGCTTAAATGTACGCCCACCAATGGTGGGCACCCCTGTGGGTATATAAGTGGAGCGACTCCACTATTTGCCTCCGTTATCTCTTCAAGCCAAGCTTAAGAGCTTCCTTTAAAGAGCAATTATCCAAGAAGCATTCTACTCACCTACCATGTCCAGCGATGCCAGGATCTGCCCGGCCTGCCAGATGGGCTCCATCTCCAGTGGCGACCTGCACGCCAAGTGTGAGGTCTGTCTCGGGGCTCATCACGCTGGCCTTGCCTTGACCCCCCAGGCCTCGTGCCCGTTTTGTGCCGCTCTGCCCGTGGCTGAAAAGATTCGCCGGGTCGAGTACTTCACCCCCGCCGACGACAAGGAATTTCCGATGGCTGACACGTACTCGCTGGACATGGCCTTACAGTTCTTCAACGTCAACCAGGAGCCGGCTGGCTTCAACCGACTGGACGATGTCATCGACAGTGAGGAGTACGACGAGGCTGGTTGCCATAGCCCTTCTTCCCTCCTGGACAACACGGAGGTCGAAGAGCCTCGCTCAGCGGGTCCTTCTGCTCCACTGACTTCTCGCTCCTCCCTGCCAGCAGTTAGAGCACTGCTCCAGGAGCTGCCTGCCATCATCTCTGCGACTGCGGTCCGCAAGGGGCTAGCCATGCCAGAACCGGCTTCGCCTGAAGCAGATGATTTGGGGGGAATTTTCGGGGCAACACAGACGCGCTGTCCAGACCCCATCTGGCCGCACTTCCCCGCTGCCATGAGCTGCTGGTCCGCTGCCTTCTCCGAACCTGCTAAGCTCAAGGCGCCAATTTCCACATATGCGCCCATTATCAAGGTCGAGGGCTTCTCCGACCAAGGCTGGCCTTCCGTTCCTCCACTGGAGCCGGACTTGGCCTCGCTGTTTGGCGCCAAGAACCACATCGCTGGCCCACGAGCAGTTCCCGCTTCTAAGCATGACCAGCTGCTGACGCGGCTCACTGATCGCGCACACCAGTGCGCCTTCCAGACCGGCGCTGCAGGAAATAACATCGCCCTTCTTGTCTTTGGCGTTTCCAAAATGGTGGAAGAGCTTGACGCTCCTGACGAGTCAAAAACCATCATTACTAAAACTGCTGATGCCATTCTCAATCTGTGCGCTGCTGTACTCACCGGTTCTGCTCACATTGCTGCCTGGCAGACCCTTATCCAGCGGGTCTTGTGACTCAAGGCCCTGCCCTCCATTCCTGAACACCTGCACAGGGAGATGCTGGAAGGCCCCATCACCTCTGACGTTCTGTTTGGTCCCCATCTTAGGAGCGTCATCGAGAGGGCTCAGAAGACAGCTGAACTGTCAGCCACGGTGCGAGACCTGGTCCACGCGCGGCGACACAGTGTCAACCCCATGCACAAGCACGGCTCCCACTCATCCTTTATCTTTGGACTCCACGCTCCGCGGTGCGGATCAGCCTTTTCCAGCTGTTTCACACTCGCCCTTTCGAGCGTAGCTCTCCATGGGTCGCTCCCAGTTCTCTGGTGCAAGCAACGACAGTAAGGGCGCAAACCCAGTCCTCAGACGTCGTTCACGTGACCTCGAACACGCGTCCGCTGTCGGAATGCGCGCAAGAATGGCGCCGCCTTTGTCTCATGAGCAAATGGATATCGGACACCATTCATTGCGGTCACACACTCCATTTTCAGTCCGCTCCTCCTCCCTTCGACGGGATCGTGGAGACGACGTTCACGTCACAGGAACAATCTCAGGCCCTGGAGCTGGAGCTGCGGGAACTTTAGTCCAAGGACGCCATTTCCCATGTTCCTCGCGGACAAGAGCTCTCAGGCTTCTACTCCCACTACTTTGTAGTACCGAAGAAGTCGGGAGGAATGAGACCAATTCTCGACCTTTCCCTGTTCAACTGCTCCATAGCAGTGATGCATTTCCATATGTTAACAATGAGGCAAGTCCTAGAATACGTACGCTCCGGGGACTGGTTAACGTCAATAGACCTGAAAGATGCATACTTCCACATCCCAGTAATTCCCAAACATCGGAAGTTCCTGCGCTTTTCATTCAAGGGAGTTCAATACCAGTTCAATCGTCTCCCTTTCGGCTACTCACTAGCCCCGCGCACCTTCTCCAAATGTCTGGAGACCACTCTGCAGCCGTTGTGCACGGTGGGAAAGAGGGTTTTATTTTACCTGGACGATCTGCTCCTATGCGCCCGGTCCAAGGACGAGGCGTCAGAGCAAACCAGGAAGTTAATAGAGCATCTGTCAACCGTGGGGTTTTCCATAAACTGGGAAAAGAGCTCCATCCTTCCATCCCAGTCGATTGTGTTTCTCGGGGTGAAGCTGAATGCCTCCTTAATGAGAACACGTTTGTCTCCGGCGAGAGCGGCATATCTCACCACGGTGATCTCCCGCGTGCAACCCCGCAAGATCGTGAGAGCCCTGTTAGTCATGAAACTTCTGGGCATGATGGCTGCAGCCCACGCTGTGGTGCCGTTAGGTTTACTGCACACGAGACGCACGCCTACAGCGTTGGTTCATCTGCCTCTGGGTACACCCGATACGTCAGAAGAGATGTATGCTGAGGGTTCTCTCTTCAGTGTGTGGGGACCTCGCTCACTGGGGCAATCTCTGCATCCTTTCACAAGGGGTTCCCATCGGACGTCCTACGTCACACGTATCTGTGTTTACGGATGCGTCACTGTTGGAATGGGGGGGCACGTGCTTGTCCCATACGGTGGCAGAGCGCTGGCCCTCCCACACGCAAGAGCACATAAATGTGTTGGAGCTTATGACAGTGAAGAATGCGATCAGACACTTTGCTGACCTTCTCGAGGGCCGTCATGTCGAAGTTCACACAGACAACCAGGTGGCGGCAGCCTGCATAAATCGCCAAGAGGGAGTTCGATACCTCCCACTATTGCGCGTAGCCACAGATTTACTGTGTTGGGCACATGTCCACCTGCTGTCCATCAAAGCCACCTACATTCCGGGGGTCCTGAATCTAGCAGCATACATCCTGTCAAGAGGGGGACCCCGCGACTCCGACTGGCGTCTGCATCCCGCACTATCACAGATCTGGATCAAGTTCGGGGAACCCTCTGTGGATCTGATCGAGGCTCGCGAAAACGCTCAGTGTCGCCTGTAGTTTTCTCTGAGTCCCCGGGACCACCCCCCACTCGGGGCGGACGCCATCTCATACCAGCCCTGGACTCAGATGCTCCTGTATGCGTTTCCGCCTGTCCCACTGATTCCCCGTCTCCTGGACCGAGTTCGGTCAGAATAGCTCTCAGTAATTCTGGTAGCTCCCAGACGCTTGTCCGTGTCATGGTTTCCAGGCCTGCAAGCGCTAGTGTCCGGCTCCCCGTGGAGGCTTCCGTGGAGGGCGGACGCCCTTCTCCAGGCAGATGGGATAATCAAACATCCTCCGGAAATAGGACAATGGCTGTGGGTCTGGCCACTGAGCAGTCACGCTTAGAGGCTTCTGGGCTGCCGCGTGATGTGGTCGCCGCCACGATTAAGAGTTTGCAGGCGCCTTCTACCGTCACATCTTATGCTGCTAAATGGGCAGCTTTCCAGAAATGGTGCACAGAGCAGAATGTTCAAGCGCTCTCCTGCCAGCTGGCAGATGTCCTATTGTTTCTGCAGATGCTGATGGACAGAGGCCTCGCATTCAGCACTATTAAAACATATGCTGCAGCTATCTCATCCTGTCACCAGGGTTTTGGAGATAGATCTGTTTTCAATCATCCCATCACAAAACGTTTTCTAAAAGGTTTCAGAAGGAACAGACCTGTGTCCTGCCCACTATTTCCTCAGTGGGACCTAACGGTGGTTCTGCGCGGCTTATCTGAAGCCCCATTTGAACCCTAGGACCAGGTCTCACTCAAGTTCCTGTCACTCAAAACTGCCTTGCTGCTGGCACTGGCATTAGTCAAGAGAGTGAGCGACCTAACCGCCCTCTCAGTGACTCACAAAGCCTGTTTGTGCACTACAGAGATTCTTCCCTTGGGCAAGCGCTGTCGACCCAGCGTCTTTCACACTGGCTGTGTGACGCCATTTCACTCACTTACACATCATCAGGGCGGGATCCTCCTGAGACACTCAGATCTCACTCAGCCAGAGGGATTTCCTCTTCTATGGCGCTCCACTGTGGTGTGTCGATGGAAGACATTTGTTAGGCTGCTTCATGGGCTTCACCCTGTTCCTTTACTCGTTATTATTTACGAGATGTGTCTCCAGGATCCATCACTCGTTCAGTGCTTGGACCTCAGCAGGCTAAGTGAAAGCATTATGGCACCACATCAGCCCTACCTGAATGAATTTCATCCTCTTGTGGATGATATTTTTAGTGGGAGCCCCACTCTTCTCTCTGGCTGCCTCAGCCTTTAAAGCCCTGGCTAAGGCTGAGCGACCCTCGCTAAAAGGAGACATGCTGGGTGTGTCCATTGGTTGAGCTAACCAGTGTGGCGTAAACCCATCCAGCTGCGCATTATTCCAAGAGCAGCTAGCTTAAG